TTAAAGGAGCAAGGTGTACTGAACCTTGTCTGGTAATAGGAGTTTTAAATGTTTATAATTTTTTTGTATGGGCAATTTGTTAAATGGATGAAAGTCTGTAAGACGTTTTTGACATACATGTAAGTTTTTTTCTCTAAGTTTATTAGGTTAGGAATGTTCGTCAAAGATTCTGTGCAACACTGTTAACTTATATACTCTTCTATAAGGCAATGGAAACATGAAGTTCTGCTTTATTCTGAATGTGTGTTTATTACTATTATTTTTTTTAATCCTTGACGTTTTTCATTGCTTTCTAGACAGAGTGAAAGGGAGAGAAGGAGAGGGAGAGAAACATCCATGAGAGAGACACACCAATTGGTTGCCTCCCACATGACCCCCCTCCGGGGCAGAGGATCAAACCTGCAGCCCAGATATATGCCCTTGACTGGGAATCCAACCTCCGACTCCTCGTTCCGCAAGCCAATGCTCCAGCTGCTGAGTTAAACCGGCCAGAGTTGTTTATTATTTATAAAGAACAGAGTCAACTACTAGTATTATTATTTATTTTAGCATGTAAGTGTTAATTAAATGTTACTGCTTCAGATTCATAATAAAAGGGCTAGACTTTTACTGTCCAACACAGCAGCTGCCCTGATACGGCTGTTGAGTACTTGAAATGTGGCTGATCGAATTGAGATGTACTATAAATATAATGTGCACAGTGGGTTCTCAAAGCTTAGTATGAAAAAAGGAATATAATATATATATATTTTTTTTATCCTCACCCGAGGACATTTTTCCATTCTTTGTTCAGGTAGAGTGGGAGGGAGAGAGAGGAACAGAGAGAGAGAGAGAAACATCGATGTGACAGGAACACATCGAGTGGCTGCCACCCGCACAACCCACCAGGGCCGGGGACAAACTACAACTGAGGTACGCGCCCTTAGCGGGAACCGAACCCGGGTCTCTCAGGACCGCAGGCCGACGCTCTAACCACTGGGCCAAACCGGCCAGGGCAGGAATATAATATTTTAATAATTGATTTATATTATTATGGTTTGAATGATAATATTTTTTGTTTGTTTGTTTGTTTTTTCCTCACCCGAGGATATTTTTCCATTTTTTGTACAGATAGAGTGGGAGGGAGAGAGAGGAAGGGAGAGAGAGAGAGAAACATCGACGTGAAGGGACACATCGAGTGGCTGCCACCCGCACGACCAACCAGGGCCGGGGACAAACTGCAACCGAAGTACATGCCCTTAGCGGGAACCGAACCCGGGTCTCTCCGGACTGCAGGCCAACGCTCTAACCGCTGAGCCAAACTGACCAGGGCTGAATGATAATATTTTATTTATTAAGTAGAATATAATACATTATAAAAATTGAATTCACTTGTTTATTTTTTTCTTTAAAAAAATTTTTTTTAATTGATTTTCAGAGAATGAGATAGAAACATCAGTGAGAGAGAACATTGATTGGCCGCCTCCTGAGTGCCCCCCACTGGGATTTGGCCTACAACCTGGGCATGTGCCCTGACCAGGAATTGAACCGGCGACCTCTTGGTGCATGGGTTGACATTCAACTACTGAGCTACACGGGCCAGGCTCTCTTTTTTCTTTTTTTAGTGTGGCTACTAGAAAATTTAAATTTACATATGTGGCTCATACTATATTTTATTGGACAATATTAGGCTAGAATATCATAGCTTTTCTATTACAGTGAAAACGTGAGCTGAGGATTTCTGGTCTGAGAAAGATCACAATGAAAGCATAGTTATTACATTTAAGAAAAACGATCTTGCCCTGGCCGGTTTGGCTCAGCAGTTAGAGCGTCCGCCTGCGGTCCGGAGAGACCCGGGTTCGGTTCCTGCTAAGGGCACGTACCTCGGTTGCAGTTTGTCCCCGGCCCTGGTTGGTCGTGCGGGTGGCAGCCACTCGATGTGTCCCTTTCACATCGATGTTTCCCTCTCTCTCTCTTCCTCTCTCTCCCTCCTACTCTGTCTGTACAAAAAATGGAAAAATGTCCTCAGGTGAGGATTAAAAAAAAAAAAAGAAAAACGATCTTTTGTAAAAACACAAAAACTAGAATCACAAAAGGAAAAAAATAAAAACAAAAACAATGACGGCCTCTTTGGCAAAATTAGATGTGGAGGTATCCTCACAGACTCCAGATTATGGGCAGGTATGTTTATTTAATGAATACTATATAGCAGTGAAAGTGAATGAAACAGCTACACAGGACAACATGAATGAATCTCATAAACATGCTCTTGAGGCAAAAGACAAGACAAGTGAGTGCATACTGTATGATTTCATTGTTCTAGCATTCAGAAACAGGCAAAACTGTGTGGTGTTGAGAATTCAGTGTATTGCTCTGATGGTTTTCTTTGTGGATGAAAGAAGAGGTAGTGTTTGGGAAGGGGCCACAAGGAGAGCCCTGAGGTGCTAGTACTGCCCTACTCCTTTATGAAACAGGCATGTTTATTTTCTGTAATTCATTATTTGTGTACTTCTCTGATGTAAGTTACACAGAAATAAAGTTATAAAAAAGCAATGAGGAAGTTCTACTGATAGGAAATGATCTCCAGGAAGTAAAAAACAAGCAAAAAAAAAAATGAAGATGCATCCCAGTGTTTACATTATGAAGCATTTTGATTTGGTTTATAGCATGCCGCTGCTTTTCTTCTGCCTCCCAGGCAATCCCTATTACCCAAGCTCCAGTCCTTGGCCATCTGTTCTCCTTAACACAGTCTTAGGGTATTAATTCATATCTCTGTGTGCCTAGTTCCAGCCCTACTCCCAGTTTATCAATTATTTATTTCCAACATTCTGTAGAATAGTTTCTGTTGATTATGTCATGGCTGACACAAAAATCAGTGTGCCTAAAACTTAAACTCATCTCTTTTTCTCCTTCATGTCTAAATAAGCTGTCATCCTAATCTTCATATTTACATCAATTGTTTTCACTGTTCTCTAAACTTAAATCTTTGAATTATAGCTGGTCTCATCTTTCACTGGATACCCGGTTTGTAACTGTTGCTGACAATTTTTTTTCAGCATTATAAAAAGCTTTATTTTCACCCTGGCTGGGTTGCTAAATGGTTAGAGCATCAGCCTGCAGACCAGGGTTTGGTTTCTGCTAAGGGCAGGTGCCTCGGTTGCGGTTTGTCCCCACCTTGGTTGGGGTCATTTGGGTGGCAGCCAGTCAATGAGTCTCTCATCGATGTTTCTTTCTCTCTCTCTCCTTCTCTTTCTCCCTCTCGTTCTATGCAAAAATGTCCTCAGGTGAGGATAAAAAAACAAACAAACAAACAGAAAAACAAAACAAAAATGTCTTTAAGCCCGAGCCAATGTGGCTCGGTTGGAATGTTGTCCTGTACACCGAAAGGTCATGGGTTCACTGGTCAGAGCACATACCCAGGTTGTGCGGTTCAATCACCAATGGGGTACACACGGGAATGTTTCTCTCTTACATTGATATCTCTCTCTCTCTCTCTCTCTCTCTCATGCTTTCCCTCTTCTTTCCTCTCTCTCTCAAATCAATAAAAACATATCTTTGGGTGAGGATTTAAAAAAAAAGTCTTTGAGAGCTTGTAGTTATTTCCTGTCAGATTAAATCTCGGTTTTGGTATACTATCCAAAGCCATTCATTGCATCCAGCCTCACTTTTCTATTTAGTCTTATCCAGTGTGTCAATATACAACTCCTCTAGTAGTCTCATCTTGATAATAACACTTTCATATTCTACTGATTGCTTTTGTATATAAGAAGATAATCTTATGAGAATAGTCAAAGCCATAAATATCCCTATTTTAAAATTGGGGAGACAATAATTTATCTGGAATCACAGGGCTAGTATTAGAAGTCATTTCAACTTAAAGAACTTGAATGTCTTTTATGTACTTGGCACTGGTTGGTATAGTTGGGCTATAGAGATATAGTCCTGTGGTCTTTGTACTCAGAGATTTTACCTGAGTTGCTTCTTGTCTCTCTCTGCCTCTGCTAGTCTTCTTCTCATTTCTAGACTGTTTTATTGCTTCTCTTTTGTTCTTGTCATTTTCTTTCAAAGCCCTCTAAACTCTGTCCTCACTAACCTTCTTTAAACCTTCCTTTACTTTGAATTCCTGGGACCAGACCAATTGTAAATATACTGTAACTTGCCACACTTTTCTTATTTGGTTTGCATGCATATTTATCACCTTAGTTAATAAGAAAGGTTCTCAAGGGCATAAATAATTATAAGTTTTAAAGTATTTTTCACAGCTTTTTTTCTCATTGTGCTGACATAGTCTAGGCCCCTAGATAATAAAGTTATGTTGAATAGAAAACTAAGGCCTTGCTTTGATCTTTAATCTATCGCTAGTGGGGAAGACCAAACACATACAAAGGACATATCCTGTACACTGTTGTAAAGCAATGAATCGATTGTGAAACATAAAAAACTTCAGATTAAATGGGTAAGTGGTTCTGATGAGGTTTTGCTATGTTTTAACAGTTAATTGTAGCTTACAGTTTTCTAGTCTTTAGACCCACTCTAGCCTCAGTAACTCACATGTTAGCACATAAAGTAACTACTAGATAGTGGCTAGGCAGATCTGGGCTAGTGTTCAGGGTAAAGACAAAGCACCACTTACTGGGCTCTCCTCTAAGAAACTATTAGTGTTAGCTGACCACTAAAACACTTACTGGATGATGAACCATCCCATAACTATGTGTTTTTATAAACCTTGTAGATAAAATTGAAACAGTGAAAGCCTTCAAGTCCACAAAATAAAATGAAGTAGCATTCTGTGTTATCAGAAGATACTATTTATGGTAGAGTTCTCTTTTCATTTAAATATGTTACATTATCGATTTTATATCAGTTTATGTGGATGTCTTATAGCTCAGTCAGATACCAGTCTTCTAGTGTTCATCTGTTCATTTCAAAAACAGTCTCTATGTCATTCTTGAGTAGTAATAATTAGAGTCAAAATAAAGAAAATGAAGCATACTTAATGTTTGTTATTGTTGTTTCATAAGGCACAGTTGGTAGATTTGAAATCTGAACTGACAGAGACCCAAGCAGAGAAAGTCGTACTGGAGAAAGAAGTACACGATCAGCTTTTGCAGTTGCATTCGGTTCAGCTTCAGCTTCATGCTAAAACCGGTCAAAGTGTAGACTCTGGTACTATTAAAGCAAAACTGGTAAGTAGTTTAGAGGGTAACCTATACTTAACATGCATTTTGGAGGATGATGGGGACAATTTTTAGTGAGGTTTTTAAATTATAATAGGTAGTATGTGCTCATTGTGGAAATTTTAGAAAATACAGGAAATGTACGGATAGATCAAGCAATCATCCAACATTTCACCTAGAGATGATCGGTGATAATATCAATAACCAACAGATACTTAGAATGGGACTTTTTTCTATTTAAAAATATCTGTGTCAATATATTTAAAAGATATTTGTGATTATACCATTCAAACAATTTTTTTGCCCTACTGTATCATTTAGGATTCGGTTCAGAAATCTCAAGTAACATTAAGATTATTCTTGAATAGTACAAATTATTTATTCTTGAGTAGTCCGTATTTTTTTCTCTCAATTAAAGAAGCCCCGAGACAAGGCAGTCCAGAGCTGATAAGGCATTTTCACAGATATTAGGGATCCAGGTTCCTTTTGTTACTATGTTCTGCCATGTTTAGCTCTTGACTTCTATTCTCAGGATGTATTCAGGTCTCCATTCCCGGCAGAAGGAAAGAATTTAAGGCAAAGGCAAAAGGATGCTTCCCAGCTGCATTAGCCTTCTTTCAAGAACTTTTTATGAACTCCTCAGGAGTTTTTGCCATTCAGTTTAACTGTCTCGTTGGCTATCCCCAACTGTATGTCAGTCTCGTAGTGGGTCACACAGCCACTTCCATTTAAATTGGAGTTCTGTTAATACGATGGAGGAAATGGAATTGGGTGCCAGCCAGTGGCACTTTTTTTTTTCTTGTTCTTAATACATTGTAAGCATTTTTCCTGCCACTTGAACACTTTGTTATACAAATTTTTCATAATTAATCAGTGCCCTGTTAATCAGCATATATTGTTTAAGTAAATATTTTTTTAATTCTCATTTCAGTTTAACTCATATGTCTTGAATATGTACTTTATGTCAGATACTTTGTTAACTGTAGAGGACACAGTGATAAATAAGTCATGTATAGATTGGGAGAGGTAGAAGATAACATAATGTTAATGATGAGAATAAATACATTTTTAAGTTTTACTTGTTTTCAGTTAATTCCATTTGATTGGTTAATTAGTTTTTAATGCTGATGTGTTAGAATTTAAGTGAATATTTATGTTCTCCTAAAGTCCTTTTAAATTCTGAAATTTTATATATCTAAGTTAGTGCTGTGTTATTTAACTGACAAGAGTCAGATAACTGCTTCTTTGAAATATTTGATATTAACATTCAGAGAACATTGTGCATTTTCACTAGGAAAGAATTTACCTAAAGTTTTAACATTAGATTTGAAACAGGCTGCTATAGTAGAATGACACTGAACCAGGTGTGTTGACTAACTTTGATAAAACAAAACATTTTAATCTAATACTATACAGTTATTACTTGTTTCTTATGGATTTGTTCTAATGAATTTTTTACCCAAATGATATTCAAGATACGGAAATTTTTCTTGTAGTGATTATACCACTAGATACATTCATTTGTTTGATGTTTTTCTAATTGTAAAACTTTTTTCTTATATCTTAAGTCTGTCCCCTCTGTGGAGGAGCTGGTAAGTATGTTGTTTCTATTTTGCTTTGAAATGTCACGCTTAGTGTTCTTAGTGTTTTCTTAATTGCATATTACATGTTGTCATATTGTATTTGAAAATGATATTAATGGTGGCAAATTTTAAATGTGCCAGTACCTGAAAAGTTCAATGGATGGCCCATTGCTCTTTTCTCACCACGTGTTGTTAAAGATTTTTCTTGTGTTTGTAATTTGTAGCTGTTATTTGCAGAGCTCATTAATTTTTAACAAGTTCTGAGCCTGGTAACTTGGTTATACCTCTACTCCAAAAGAGCAATTGGTTTTCCCCTTGAGTGCTTTGAAGATATATTAAGCAGGATTAGCTTCTATCTTTGCTATTTGAATTTATCCCCAGAGAAAGAATGTGCATGTTGGTTTTCTTATTCGTCCACTGCATGTGTTGTAGTTTTTCAGCAGTCTTGAGGATAATTGTGTGGCTTTACTGAATTTTAAAACCCTTTACTAGAAATGATTTTAGAATATAACAATATATAAATGCTTAATATTTTTCCCACTACCCCAACCTAACCAGGTTCAAATTTGTCATATGGCTTCACTTTTTAAAAAATGCACTGTTTGGCTATCTAAATACAAAATGTAGTTCTTGGTTATTACCTAATAATAACAAACTGGTTAACTAAAAACAATTTTTTTCTCTTTAAATCTAAAAATCTAAAACTTCAGTTTTCTCAGTCCTTTTTTTTTTTTTACTTGTATCTGTTCATGTTAGTCCTGAGAGTTTGTCAGATTCCTTAGGAGTCTGAATCATTAAAGTAAAGCAATGGCTTAATATGTTTCTCAGATTTCGTAAATTTATATAAATAGCTTATTAATTATAAGTAGATGATTCTTAACATAAAGTTTATTTAGCCAGTAAACCAAATAATTCTTGGTCTTTTAGGATTTCTTTTTCTGAAACAAATAGCATTAATCTCAATAAATGTCATAAGAAAGTTTTATTCATGTAATCTAAACTGCGGTTTCTTTTAGAACTAATATGTGCTCTTTTAAGGAATAGATTCTGAAGTAAATTGACATGTTAATAATTCCGAAGTTGTTTTAAAAGGAGGACTTTAGATTATCCTGCAAATATTTTTATTTTATTTTATTTTTTCCTCACCCAAGGACATTTTTCCATTTATCATCAGATAGAGTGGGGGGGGGGTGAGAAACATCTATGCAAGAGGGACACATCCACTGGCTGCCTCCTGCATAACCCCGACCAGGGCTGGGGATGAATCGCAACTGAGGCACGTGTCCTTGACCAGAATCAAACCTGCGACTCTTTGGTCTGTGGGCCAACGCTCCAACCGCCAAGCCAAACCTGCCAGGGCTCTGCAAATACTTTAAAACAATATCTAGAAATTTTGTTCTGATTATTTTTTAAAACAGAAGTTGAAAAAGCCTGCTGATTAATTTCCTTTTATTTATCACGTACATAAAAACAAAGAATTTTAATCAAAGAAGTTGTTATTCATTTTAGCTTGTACATTTTCTTTAACATATGTTTTTCCCTTTATTGATTTTAGAAAGAGAGGAAGTGAGAGGGAGAGAGAGATAGAAACATTGATGAGAGAGAACATCGATTGGTTGCCTCCAGCATGCCCCCCACTGGGGATAGGGCCCACAACCTGGGCATGTGTCCTGACCGGAAATCGAACCAGCAACCTCTTTCTTAGTGCATGGGTCGACGCTCAACCATTGAGCCACACCAGCCGGATTGTATATATTTTTATTTTTAAGATTATGGTACTCCTTGCCTTGTATTTGAATATATTATATATTGATGTTACATATAGCATATGTTGATGTACTCTAGTCCAATCAGTAGATCAAATTAGTACCAAAATATATTTAATGAATCGCTAAAAATCTGCTTACATATCTCAGCTTCTTAATATCCAGAATAAAAAAGAAATAATTATAATAATCAGTACCCATACAGTAGAAATATTCATTTGCCATTTGTTCAAGACAAACAAATTTTCCTGCTTCAGTAGATCTTTTTTTTTTTTAATCCTCACCCGAGGACATTTTTACATTTTATCTTCGGACAGAGTGGGAAGGAGAGAGGGAGGGAGGGAGAGAGAGAAATATCAGTGTGAGAGAGACACATCCACTGGTTGCCACCCACATGACCCCAACCAGGGCTGGGGACAAACAACACTTAAGTGCTCACTTCAGCAGCACATATACTAAAATTGGAACAATACAAAGAAGATTAGCACGGCCCCTGCGCAAGGATGACACGCAAATTCGTGAAGCGTTCCATATTTTTAAAGCTGTGGTACCTATACACAATGGAGTACTATGCAGCTGTAAGAAAGAAAGATCTCTTATCCTTTGAGACGACATGGAGGGACCTGGCAAGTATTATCCTAAGCGAAACAAGCCAAACAGAGAAAGGCAACTATCATATGATCTCACTTATTTGTAGAATATAATGAACATAACAGTCTGAGGAATGGGGTAGTCCCAGAGATGTGGAAGTGAGGTACAGACTGACAGTCCCCAGAAAAGGGGGTGGCGGGGAGAAATAAACCACAGAACTTATATGCATGAATAATGGACATGGACAACAAAGCTGGGGACAGGTCAGGGAGGAGGGGATCAGTGGGGGGGGAAGGAGAAACATCTGTAACAAAAATAAATTAATTAAAAAAAATAAAATTGATGAGGAAAAGTAAAAAAAATAAATAAATAATAAAAATAAGAGCAGTTTACAATAAATAAATAAATAAAAATAAAAATAACACTTAAAAATATCTACCAGGACCCTTATCAACTCTCAAAGGGCTTTCATTGTGAATTTAAATTTGACTGCCTTCAGGTAGGATTTTGTACCTTAAATTTGCTATTCTACTTTGTCTTACACCTTTGTCTGCTCAGTGCTTGGATCCTGAAGGCATTTACATTTGTACATACTGTACTCCATACTTTTAAAGTAAATTGAACATTATTTCTCATATGTGAGCTTATGATAAAAATTTGATGGTGAAGATCTTGAAGTTATAATCTCTGGCTGACACCTATAAATTCACACATATGGGACTGTCTACCAAGTGGAACATAGGATGGCATCATTTTATGAGAGATAAAAATGGATATGCATCCTTTCATTAGTAGGCAAGTGAAGCCACTATTTTCCTTAGAAAACAGTTCTTCATTCACTTGAACAAATAAATGAGCTAGGGCCAAAAATTCAGTGATAATCTACACCATAGACATGCTTATCTAGAGAAATGTTTAATGTGTAAATGTCTTCATGCAGTGGTTACCAGCATGTTTTCTTTTTGTTAGAATGTCTGTTGTAATTTAAGTATTGTACGTTTTTGTAGTCCTCTAAGGTAGATTAGCTATAGAACATATCTCTATGTAACTGAATGATTTTTGACTGGCTTTGTAGAATTATTGCATTAAAGCTAATTGAATATTTGGGTACAACCACCAGAGTGACTATTTTATTTTAATCTAGTTTTGAAACCAGACACAAAACAGGTCCATGGTCACCTGTTAGTACTTAAGCCAAATAAAGCAGAGACAGGGTTGAAGCATATATGAGCATTTATTCCAATAATGCCAGCAGTATGGAGAGGACAGCAGGTTATCCTGAAAATTCTGCTCTAACATCTCCTACTAGCCGGCCGATTATATACAGATAAGGAAGAAGGGCTGTGTGTAAGGGGAAGCAGGGGCAGGATAAGGGCTGCAGGGTCCGTGATCCGTGTGTCTCCTTCCAGGATCTTGAAGTCCCATAACAAGGTAGTTAATGTTCCATGATGTTAAAAACAGCTCAGCCCGTTCCTGGGACCCAAGAATGGTTAGCATTCCTGAGGCAAACTCCTGGAGGGGGTTAGGGTCCAGGCACAGCAACCAAGTCAAAGTGTGTCCTGTTCTTAGTGTTCTTAAAATGTATTTTCTTTTTTGAGTAATGGACCCATCCAGGCTCCTAGGCCTCTTTTCTTTTTTACGGCCCTGTTTTTTTCTTGCAACACATCGTCCAGTTTCCCAGGGTCTGTAAGAAAACCTCTTGTCTATAGTTAGTAAGATGAATAATCATTAAACAGTTGTGGTCCCATTCCTATTATGTGCCCTTCCCCCATCAGTTTCTTGAGTCATTTTTAGAAAATAGAGAGCAGATTCAGTTATCCATTGAGCCACTTCTATTAATATGTGATAACATGCACATAAAGACTACTACTTTTTGACCCTGGCAGGGTAGCTCAGTTGGTTAGAACATTGTCCTGATATGCCAGTTTGTGAGTTTAATTTCCGGTCTGAACACATACAAGAAGTAACCAGTGAATGCATAAATAAGCACAACAACAAATCAATGTTTCTCCCTCTCCCTTCCTCTCTCTCTAAAAAAATCAATGAAAAAAAAGAATACTATTTCTCTTAGTACTCTCACTAGAAGTGGTTCCAACACCTTCTGGTACTAGTTAAAAAGAACTGGATCCAAATCTTTGTGTTCTTATTTTATAGAAATGAAGTAATTTTTATCATATGCATTCATTGTTGGTATTTATACTGTATGCTTTTGTGTAGTTTAAGGAGTGTGGTTTATTTGGGGTCTTAAAAGTATTTCATTACATTATGGTTTTGTTTCTTATTTTTTTAATTACAATAGGAGAGAGAACTTGAAGCAAATAAAAAAGAAAAAATGAAAGAAGCTCAACTTGAAGCTGAAGTGAAGTTGCTAAGAAAAGAGAACGAAGCCCTTCGTAGACACATAGCTGTTCTCCAGGCTGAAGTTTATGGAGCAAGACTGGCTGCCAAGTACTTAGACAAAGAACTGGCAGGAAGGTGTGTAAGAAAGGGGTCCTCTTGTACTCTGAGGTGACAAATTGATATTTAATGAGGTGGACTTTTACCTTTGTGGTAAATGAAACATTAATCTTTACCCTAAGAGTTACATTAGAAGTGGTGTGGAGTAAATAAAAATAATTTTTGGCCCCAGCCGGTTTGGCTCAGCAGTTAGAGCGTCAGCTTGCGGACCAGAGAGTCCTGGGTTTGGTTCCCACTAAGGGCACATACCTCGGTTGCTGTTTGTCCCTGGCCCTGGTTGGGGTCATGTGGGTGGCAGCGAGTCTATGTGTCTCTCTCACGTTGATGTTTCTCTCTTTCTCCCCCCCTCCCATTCTGTCTGAAGATAAATGCAAAAAAATGTCCTCGAGTGAGGATAAAAAATAATAATAATAATAATTTTTGTATAACCTTGATGTGTACATTTTCTAATAACTTAGCACATTTAAAATAATTATTTTGTAAAAGAAAAACTATTGTTAAAAGAAATGTTTTTGTACAGTTAGCCTTGTTTGAAGACTAGTATTTAGTATTATGAGTCTGATGACCTACCTTGATTGTATACAAGGCATGAAACACATATTAATTGACATTAGTCTCATAAATTGTTTCTTAGATGTATTTGAGTTAAACATATGACTAAAAAAGGTCTCATTTATTTTTTTAAAACTGGTTTTCCCTTGTAGACATCTATTCTTTTCAGAGTTTTCATATCTTTATAAATCTGAAAAACATTGGGAGGTTCTAGAGTATTATTTTTATTAATAATTTAGATCTTTGCGAAAGCTACTTATGTTTAGTAATTCTTCTGAGTTCTCACTATAGTAGGCATAGTGAAAAACTAACTGAATCAACTCTTTTCACAATATGAAGGGTCCAACAAATACAGTTATTAGGACGAGATATGAAGGGACCTGCTCATGATAAGCTTTGGAACCAACTGGAAGCTGAAATTCATTTGCATCGTCACAAAACCGTCATCAGAGCCTGTAGAGGACGCAATGACCTGAAACGACCCATGCAGGCACCACCGGGCCACGTATGTTTGCTTCGATGCTGCTTCCCACTCGACCTCTTCCTTCTTTGTTTAACCAAAAGTCTCTTTCATTTCTTTATTCTATTAACATTCAAACCCTTAATTTAAAGAGGGAAAATGGGATTAACCTTATTTAAAACAGATACATATTTAAAGTTTCAATAACCCATAACTCTTTACTAACTTACTAATGCCCTGAAAGTGATATTTCCGAAGATTGTGAACTGTTTCTAGTAAATGCATATTGTTAGTACTTTGGCTCATACTTCAAAATTTTCATGAATCATGATTAGGCATAAATTTGTTTTAAGCTTAGCAGAGAGCATGTAGTCATATTGATAAATTGGTAAATATTTTTGGGTAGTTCTTTAAGAAAACTTTTGGTGACTCAATTCAAATGTAGGTTTAGAACTAATGTTTACACCTGTTTGTTCTTGAATTAAGATGTAATTTGACATCTATGTCTGTGTCTAATTGTCTGCTTTCTTAGCCGCCATGTGTGGGAGTGTTTCTTTTTATCTGTATATATATATCTTTATCAAACTTCATTACAACAGCTGTTTGATAATACACACCTTAATATAATAAGAGCGTGTCAAACTCCTACCCAGTGGCCCAAGTATCTTAGCATTAGATAAAGCATGGCCTTAAATAGTAAAATTATATTTTGGCTTTCATAAAGCAAAGGGTATTGTAAGAAGAATTGGTATGTACATGGATTTGGTGGGAGAGGAGTGGGGATAGCAATAAACACTTACACCATTTTTCTTTCTGGGACATTGGTGGTCCCCATTAATTTCTAAGCAATGGACAGGTGACAAGAGTTATTTTATGCTACATAAGGAGTTTGAACTTTAACCTGATAACCATGGGACTATTAAATAAAATAGTGGGTTTAATAAGATTTAACATTTTTTTGACAGTTACTTTGGTATAGTGAAGAGGATATATTGGAAGATATATTGGAAGAGGGTCTAATTGGAGGTGAGGAGATACATTAGAAAGATACTGTACTAATCCGAGGAGAAAGTGATGGGAGCAGGGCAAGTGCATTTGAGAATTAGAATCAAGGTTTGACAGAATTAGAATCAAGAGGACTTGGTGAATAACTGCTGTTGATTAAATAGGTGTGTGAGAAGGAAGGCACTAGGTTTTTGATTTGGGCAACTGAGTGATTTGATGGTATTAATTTATAAACCAAATAGAGGAAAAGGAAGGTTTTGGGCGAAAGATGAGGTCAGTTTAGACATGTAGTGTATAGGGTGCCAGGGGACAGCCCAGCTATATCCAGTTAGGTATAGGACTCTAGAATTCAGGAGAGAAGTCTTTATAAGTGAAACTATGGAACTGATTAAGTCACCCAGGGAAAGTGTCTTTAAGATAAAAAGAGTAAAAGGGCAGGGTGGAAAGAATCTTTTATGGAGTGAGGGAAGGAAATTGATCACCCAAGGAGGGAAGCTGAGATGGAGATTGTCATGTACAGGCCATCTAGGGAAGTAGTGCAGCAGAAGCTAGAGAAAAGAGGACTTCAAGGAGGGTTAGTGAACAGGGTCAACTTTCCGAAAGTTCAAATTGGCAGTGACTAAAAAATGTTTGGATGTAGCCATATTGGTTACCAGATACTGTAGAGAAGACAATTTAGTGGAGCAGGTTGGGGCAAGACCCTAATTACAGTGATTGGGGTAATGAATGTAGGAGGCAAGCAAGTAAATATAGTAAAGACTAACTCGGAAATAAGGAAAGATGGAGGAGGAGGACAGTAGCTAAAGATGATAGTAAGTGATTGAAGGGTTTTATTTTGTTTTGTGTTTGTACATGGTTAGTATTTTAAAGCTGAAAGAGGCTTGGAATCTCAGTTTGTATGCTGAATAGGGAAAGCCTTAATAGAGAGGGAAAGAGAAAGGTATTAAAGAAGGAAGTATTAGTAGAGCAATGTCCTTTATTTAAAAGGTAGTCTCCAGAGCTCAAAGGAAAGTAATGAATGATCTAGTTGGTAATTTGTTTTTCAGTTCTACAATCAGTTAAAATGGATATAGATCTTTATGATATTTTCCAGTGAAGATAAACAATTACCCACTTTTACTTCTTGAAGATATTTGTTCATCAGTTAATTCCTGGCAATAGTTTCTTTTGTAATGTCCTATGATTTAAAAAGAGATTTATCAATATTAAAGAATTTGATGAAAGGGTGAGAAAATCGTTTATACATTCTACTATATTAGCAGAACAACTATTTTTACATTATCTACAGTATGCGTTTATTCTATTTGGTATATATTTTAATAATACTAATTTTTCTTTTTTTTCTCCCCCAATAAGGATCAAGACTCTTTAAAGAAAAGCCAAGGTGTTGGTCCAATTAGAAAAGTTCTCCTCCTTAAGGAAGACTATGAAGGCCTTGGCATTTCAATTACAGTAAGAAGTAGTGCTTCCAGTCTTCCTTTCTGCAGTTACCCAGTATAATCCTGCTCCTTCATTAGACGTCCTTAATAAACAAAGTATTCAGGATATATTTTTTAAATAACTGAATTTATCCCCATGGGTACTCTTTTTGTGTAAACTTGTTTTTTGTTTGTAAATCTTTCTTATGACTGTTAAGTATACCTTTAGTAAACAGAGTTAAATTTTTATTTTGACTCGGGTCATAGTTCTGTACATAGTCTGTGTTGCCTTCAAGAGCCTTTGGGAATGGGTATGACCATTTTCTTCTGTGTTAAATGGCTCCAGATTGTATTTCTTTCTCTAGAGTATGTGTTATCTTTCTCTTGTTTAATTTTTTTATTGTCAGATTTGACTGGCTCTTCTTGGGTCTAAATAGTTTTCTTTTTTAAATTTGATTGATGCCTTTACAAAGAGTTATCTTGGGCAACATTTCTGAGAGCAATCTATTGTCAAATACATATATTTGGAGTCATTTTGCTTTTGTTCAGTGCGTTGTTCTTCCAGATGAATGAATAAGGCAATTTTACTCTAAATTTCACTTGGTAGTACTTAGGCACTGCATAAGTTCATTTTATTTCTGGTATTGTTTAATGTAGGAATGTTTCTTATAATGAAAAATTTGTACAGTGGAGAAATAAGAGACACACACACACACAACTATGATACAAGCTGGAAAGTGATACATACCAAATACTGCACTTCATCAATTCTACGTTGCATATTTTTTCACATTTCACATTTCTGAAATTGAGATTCATCTCATGCTCTTACAATTATTTTATGGTACATAAAATAATGGTTTGTTTTACCATTTATAGTGATTTAGATTTGATAAAATCAAATAGTGCTATAGACTACTAATACATGAAATATTTTTATTTGTGTTTAAAAGAGTGTAGCCAATTGTAGTTGTTTTGGGGGTGGGGAGGGCTCTAAAATGCTTTTTAGAAAAGGAATGTATGGCCCGGCTGGTGTGGCTTGGTGGATTGAGAGTTGTCCCATGGACTGAGAGGTTCCAGTTTGATTCCTGGTCAGGGCACATGCCCTGGTTGCAGGCTGGATCCCCAGTTGGGGGTTGGGGGGTGCAAGAGGCAAACAATTGATGTTTCTCTCTCACATCGAAGTTTCTATCTCTCTAATACATTAGTAATTAAAAAACATTTAAAAAGAAAAACATGTATATTATTAATCATTTTACTAAAAGGTAACTCTTTGATATTCATAATAACTTATTTATCTTTGCTTAAGCAGCAAATAAGATTTTACCCAGCAATTATAGACAGTGTAGGTACTTTTGAAATATATATATATAGAAATATATATACATATTTTTTTTATTCTCACCTGAGGACTTTTTTTATTTATCTTCAGATAGAGCAGGGTGGGGGTGGACATCGACGTGAGAGACACATCCAGTGGTTGCCACCCACATGACCCCAACTGGGGCCGGGGACAAACTACAACTGAGGTACATGCCCTTAGCGGGAACTGAACCCAGGACTCTCTGGTCCGCGGGCCGACGCTCTAACCACTGAGCAAAACTGGCCAGGGCTGAAATATATTTTTAAGAAAATATTTTGTTATTAAAATAGTGTGTGATTATACAAAGAGTAAACTAATTTATTGCCTTTGTTTGTTTGTTTTTTATTAGGGTGGGAAAGAACACGGTGTTCCAATCCTCATTTCTGAGATCCAGCCAGGGCAACCTGCTGATAGGTGTGGAGGGTTACATGTAGGAGATGCTATTTTGGCTGTTAATGGAGTTAACTTAAGGGACACAAAGCATAAAGAAGCTGTAACCATTCTTTCCCAGCAGGTAAGTTCCCTTTATGAAATTAAAACTGGATCTGTCAATTGGTTCTTTTTGAATCTATTGAATATTTTATACTTTCCTAGGAGGTTACTTAAGTATTAAAGTGTTTCCATATAGTTAGTAGTTTTTTTTTATTTGGGGCTTTTATAGAAGACATTTAGCCAGACTTACTGAAAAAGGAGATTTTATTTGCTCTTTTCCATAGCTGTTTAACTTGGAGTAAGTAAAGTCTTCTGTGCTGCAGTGTGCTCATGTAAAAGCTGTAGGATTAAACTGTTAATACACTATAGAGTGCCCGGAACAGGACCTGGCATGAGAGCAAAACATTAATGACGGAAACACTATATAAATATAAGGTATTACAGGAAAGAGTGATGCTAGAAGTGGATTTATAGTCATAAATGTTAGAACTGAAAAGATCCTTAGAAGTCATTTAGCCCAAGCCCTCTTACTTAAAATGAATAAACTAAGGTTCTTAAAGAAATAAATGATTTGCTCAAAGCTGCGGGCAAACAAATGATAGAGTCAGGATTCATATCCAGTAATCATATTTATTATTCAGTGTTCTTAAGGTTTTGTTTTGTTTTTCTTTATGAAGACTAAGGTTGAAGGAATTAGGCATCAGTGGTACATTGAGGTTTTTCTTGGATCAAAAGTGTGGTATGCAAATGTAAAATTGAATCTCAGAGTGGAAAGTGAATTAGTTTAACTCTACATGATGCATGTAGTATCCTCTGCAGTATCACTAATTAGATAATTGCATTAAAGGACTTGTTGATAAAGCAGTCCATTCCATTGTGTTATACTGATGAGTTTTAGAAAGCTCTTTCTCATAATAAGCCTAAAATCTATCTCTGTGACAGCTACCCACAGACCTAATTCTGTCATCTAGAACTGTGCTGAATACCACTGTATTACCCATCTGTCTCCCCACACTGGAATTTTTAAAGCATATCCCAGTAAGGGATATCTAAGAATGCAGTCCTAGCTGCTTTAAGTTTGTGTTTTCTCAGCCCAGCTTGGCTCTCATCCAGTAGCATGAGAGTGGACTAAATGGCGGCTGTGGTAAAGGAGATACAAATAGGCAGTCATAAAGTTTGAAGGAAATGCTGAGCACATATTAAAATTCTGAGACATAACCTTAAACTGCTGGGAACAGAGGAGCACCAAAGAGACTAACTTAGTGAGTAGCAGTAAAAAATGGCATGCTTTCTTTTGAGCAAAGGCAGACCATAATTTTCAGACTTGTATGTAATGATTGTAGTCTCTTATTAAATGACAATTATAGCTTGGAATTTTTTTAACATTACATAATCTGTAAGTTTTTACTTAAACATAAAATTGTTATTAAAGAATAATTGTACAGCCCGGCCTGTGTGGCTCAGTGGTTCAACATCGACCCATGCACCAAGAAGTCGCCAGATTGATTCCACTCAGGGCATATGCCCAGGTTGTATGCCCAATCCCCAGTGGGGGGCATGCAGGAGGTGGCCATTCGATGTTCTCTTGCATCAATGTTTCTACCTCTCTCTATTCCTCCCTCTCTCTCTAAAATAAATAAAGAAAAAATATTTTTTTAAAAAAAGAATAATTCGACCCAGTGATCCCACTTCTAGGAATATATCCTAAGAAGCCCGAAACACTGATCAGAAAGAATATATATACCCCTCTGTTCATAGCAGCACTATTTACAATTGCTAAGATTTGGAAACAGCCCAAGTATCCATCAGTAGATGAGTGGATAAAAAAGCTGTGGTACATTTACACAATGGAACACTATGCAGCTGTAAGAAAGAAAGATCTCTTATCCTTTGAGATAACATGAAGGGACCTGGAGAGTATTATGCTAAGGGAAATAAGCCAATCAGAGAAAGACAAATACCACATGATCTCATTTATTTGTGGAATATAATGAACAAAAAAAGCTGATGAACAAAACAGACCCAGAGAGTTAGAAAAGAGTATGGTTCAGACTGACAAACCTCAGAGGAGAGGGGCTGGGGGGAGGGATGAGATAAACCAAAGAACTTATGTGCGTGTATGCGTAACCAGTGGACATAGACGACAATGCTTGGGGGTGGGAGGGATAGGAGGAGTGTTTCTGCTGGGAAAAAGGAGAAACATCTGTAATAAAAATAAATTAATAATAAAAAATAATAATTGTACAAATATTACATATTCAGTCCATAATGGTAGAAAGAGCAAGGACTGCGGAGTCAAATTTCTCTTTTTCTGTTTTACTTGTTCATCGTACTGGAAGAGTAAGAGTTATCTGCTTTCTCCGGGACTCTCTCAGGTTTCTCATTCATGTAAAAGAGACGACAGTAGTTATATTTTGAGGATTAAAGGATATAATTTTGTGCAATAAATATGGTGATTACTGTTATTACTGCACAGAATACCTTGATTAACACTGTGTCTGGTACTCAGTGAAAGTTAAGGTTCTAGACCTAGTTAGTAAGAAACAGAAATCATTGGGTAGAGGTTTCTTAAATTAGTCAAGGAAAAGTTTGTGTGATGCCTTTGGGTGCAACTTTATTTAATATTTAGATGGATTTTCTGAATTGCTAGGTAAAATACAAAATGACTTAAACTGGACATTTGTTCCAGAATTCTGTAAATTGAATAAACATTCTTTTTTAAGGTCTGTTAGCAGAAATACTGTGATCAGTAGAAAGAACTACTGTACTATTAAAAAGAAATTAGACAGGATTCATGGAGTTGGTCTGGATACAATGGCCTGTAAGTTCTCTTCTGCCTCTTGAGATTCTAGGGTCTCATTATTTGTCTTGAAAGAAAACTACATCTGAGGTCTGAGTACTGTTCCTCATCTCTGTCCCCCATGCCAAAGAATTTAGAAATCCTTTTTTTAATGACAGTTGTAACTTGACTTCCCTATTTTCTCTCCCTGTCTTAGAGAGGAGAGATTGAATTTGAAGTTGTTTATGTGGCTCCTGAAGTCGATTCTGATGATGAAAATGTAGAGTATGAAGATGAGAGTGGGCATCGTTATCGTTTATACCTCGATGAATTAGAGGGAGGTAGTAGTTCTGGTGCCAGCTGCAAAGACACAAGTGGAGAAATCAAAGTGTTACAAGGTAAAAAAAAATCACTCTAAACATTGTTAATGTGTTATTAATAAAAATTGTAAATATGGGTCTCAGATGTTCTTCAGTAACACTTTTAATAATGAGGAAACCATCATTAACAGAATGAATGGCTTTCCCTTATTGTTTTATTGTACACCAGTAACTATGCCAAAATTTTATTTACATGTAAGTTTTTTTAGATTCATCTTTGACCTGAAGACAAAAATATTGCCAGTTATTAAACTATAGGTAATCATTGAAAAATGATTAAAATTCAAATTTTCTAACTCTGAAGCAAAGACTAACATGCCTTTTAGAGTAAATATATTTAAATATCATCTCTCTCTCTTAATACAAATTCTTCTCTCATAATACAGTGAGTAAGTAATTAGCCTGTTGTCTTACAGTTACTGTTGGAATCAGTAAATGTGATCTTTAGGGTTTTTGGTTTAGTTTCTTTGCTATCATTTATTAATTTTAAAGAAAAATTCTAGCACTTTCTTTTACATAGAGCAGTGGTTCTTAAATTATGATCCACAGATCTCGGGGGGAGTCCCAGAGACCTTTCGGGGAGTTCATGATATCTGAATTTTCCATAATAATTCTAAGACATTATTTGTCTTGTTTTGTTGTCTTTATTATGTTTGCACTGATGGTACAAAAGAAATGGGGACAAAGCTACCGGAGCTTTAGTATGAACCAAGGCAGTGGCATCATTGTACTAATTAATAATCATTGTCTCCTTCCTTGCCATCCACTCAGAGTAAAAAGGAAGAAAATGCTAGTCTCACTTAAGATATCATTGATGAATTAGTGAAAACTTTATTTTATTAAATCTTGACCCTTGAGTATATTTTAAAAAATAGTCTGTGTGATAAGATAGGAAGTGTGCATAAAGTACTCGGTCCACGTGTTGAATTAAGATGCTGGTCTCAAGGAAAAGTACATAAGTGATTAAGTTACTAACTGAACTAGCCTTTTTTTATTCATGGAAGACAATTTTTACTTGAAAGAATGACTGACAAATTATGGTTGTTTAGACTATTTGGCAGTTATTTTCTTTAAAATGAACAAAGTGAGTCCACCACTTTAAGAAAACCAACTAACAGTATTTATTACCAATGATAAAATGTGAGCTTTCAAGTCAAAATCAGAATGTTGTAAAAACATGCATCAGCCACAATGAACTTGACAGTTTCCCAGCACTTAAAGACCTTTTCTAATGGTGGTGATATTAATTAATTAATGTGGGGTTTTTTTGTTGTTATTTTGTTTTTGTTTTTCATATAGTGAGATGATGTGTATCAACTTTTGGAAATGCTACATAACTCAGTGATTTAATATTTTTCAAATGACCAGTGCATGATGTTATAAAATCCTGCCTGTGCAAAAGACCCCTTCAAAGCACACACTCAACAAATGGATTTTAATGTAACAGAGTACAAAAAGTTTATCGATCCGGTTCAAATTCTTGATTGTCAAATATGAGAATCCAGCTGTTTTCTGTAAAGCCAGACATTAAGGATATTTGCAAAATTTTAAAATAATGCTATTCTTCTCACTAAATTTTGTGAAGAAAATAGTTATTTTCTTTAAACAAATATATTAACATTTTATTTATTTATTTATTTATTTATTTATTTATTTTTTTGGTCATTTTAATGAAGTTATAACTTTTTTAGATTTCTCAGTTTTAGTTTCTAATATAGTAAACATCAGTAACCCACATAATAACACTAATAATGCACATAAACAAAAGCTCTTAGGGATACATGCTTTTTAAGAGTACAAAGGCATTCTGAGACCAAAAAGTTTGAATTTTGGCATAAAGTTTTATGTGACTTCACTAACTGTTGCCCATCTGCAAACTTGTATGTTAAAAGTTATCTACACAAAGACAGCAGTGGTAATTCCTGTTCTTCTCATGCATCTGGAACAAACTATGGTGGCACTGTGTCAAACCTTACACTGTAGGGCTGCTCTCCCTATGATTTCCTTGTCTTTCATCCTTTCTACTACTTTCTGTCAGGATTAGGCATCTTGTCTCTTCCCTTTTTAGCAGCTGAGGCTAAAAGACTTCTCTGTCACCTATGTAAATTGCAGACCACTTAAACTGTGACTCAGCTAATGTATACTCTTATGATACACTGCTTTTAACTGCCCAACGCACAAAAATATATCCATTAGTTATTGTTTAGCACATGTCCATATTTCCTAGCTCACTAAATAGATGACATAGTTAATCTCATGTATTTGAAAGCCTATTATCTATTTTGTAGATTAACCAAAATTAGTTTTATGTTTTATCTGGACATTGTCTTGCCAATAAACTAGATTTTTAGCAGGAAACTAGTATATACCTTAGTGAACTGAAGTTAAATAATCTTAAAGCAAAATGGAAAATAAAAATGTAGTTTATGGTCCAATAGATATTGTGTAAGTAAAATTGACTGAATTTTATGATTACATTTATCAATTCTAAGTTTCATGCAGAAGTTGGTAGGAAATTCTATACAATTTTTAGCTAGGTCCAATAGGTAATATTTTTTAAATTTCTATAATATTTGATATCCACTATAAGAAGTAAGAATTTCTTTTTCAGAAATTGCTAACTTGATTAATCTAGGGCCCCATTGTTTGCTTCAGATGACTATTATTAATTACAGTAGGCATTCATTCCGTTGTTTTTGCTCAGTAAAATCATAAGACCTTTTTTTTAGATTAAAAAGTAACTGCTCTTCTTCCACTTTTTTTTAGGATTTAATAAGAAGGCGGCAGTAGCTGATGGGCATGAAAATGGAGACCTGGGAACTTCGAGTGAAACGCCGCTTGAAGACAGTGCTTCCAAATTAGATGATCTGCACAGTCTGTATCATAAAAAATCTTATTAAATTGACTGTATCCCCAGACAAGATTGTAAAATCAGACTATTCTGAATATGGGGCACTAGGGAAGATGATGACAAAGACTATCCAAGCTCAAGGGAGGCTGTTTTTTGCCTAAATGAAAGGCGGGTACCTCAGGGCTTCATGTGAACAATTCTAGATGCCTGACTTCCTGTTCCTGTGCTATATCATAATTGGCTATTGCATGTAAAGCAATTTTGATTTTCTAAAAAAAAATTGTAAAGCACCAAAGCATGTGTTTCCCAAAGGGATACTGTGGATTCCTAAGTACCAAATGAAGCACTTCTGTTTTATTTGGTTCCTTTCCTACTTAGAGTAGAAGGATAGTGCTAACCAGTATTTTATAAGAAATCACCTTTAAATACAGGAGAATAAATGAATTCGTGTTATCTATTCCAGAATGTCAAGAGTGGTGTTTCAAAAGACAGAACTTGACTCGATGAACTGCAGAAATGTAGACTGGATTTAATTGTTTTTGTTTTTTTTTTAACTGAAAGAAGAGTTTTAGTTGTTTTAAATTTATTTTGCAACCTGATATCTAAATCAGTTCTTAATGATCATTTATTGTGATGAATTTGCCATTCAGCTTTATGCAATGCAGTACAAAATAATTTTCTTTAAGTGATCCTTTATTAATCAGTGCTGCACTAGAAATAGTTTCTGTAAAGTTACTGTACATTATACTTTTCTGATTTTTAAAAGAAATGCAGATAAGTGTATTATGTCTGTTCCCAATTATGTTGCTCTCTGTGCATGATGTTGGAGCATTATGTTCTTACTGTATAGTCTCAAATACTCTTTTTCTGGGATCTACAAAAGACAGTTTTATACATTTGAGTTGTTCATAAAGTTTGTCTTGCTGTGCTAGTCCTGGCACTTAAAGATACATTTTTTTCTGGCAGTAAAAGCTCAAATTTATTACTATGTCAATGAAATACATTTAAACAGCAGTTTTCTCTCAAAGTCACTCATTTGCCAGTCATCTAAAAAGCTGAGACACTGGTGAGAAAGATAAAGTGTGGAGACCTTTTAATACACTAATTGTTTTAGTTGGCTTTTTATGTCTGTGTATGTTTGACTAAAGTGCTTTTCAGATACAAAATATGGATCTGCTAGTTTTCTCATCCCGGGATTAGGCATGGAGTACCTGCTCTTTTATGTACTGTTCTTGCAGGCCACTGTACCTTGTTGGGGAAAGTGAAAATACTATATTTAAAGAGGTGATAGTTTTGCCAGTATCACTGTTTTAAAGGATATACATTTAAGGGACTATTAAGTGGGGGAGCCTGCACGCCTCTTAGAGTGTTATCAGTTCTTCACTTCTAATATTCAGATGTTATGTGATATAACACACATTTTCTTGTCTTTCCTAGATGCAATATATATTTGTTCATAAGTAAATCTATAAAATGTATATACTTTATTTGGTGGTTTTGCTATTTATAAATTTTCTGTTTTAACTATTGCTCATTTATGGGTTTTTTTTTTTGGTGGTTTTATTCATCTCTGTATCTCCATGTTAATTTGTAATAGAAATGCACTTCACAGTATATATTGTTACTGATATTAATATACCTTGTAGGATAAAGTTGCCTCTAAGCAAAAGCTAGTATTTAATTGCACAACTGAATAAGCAAGCTACATGTTATTATTTGGTCCTGAAATGCTAGGCCTCTTAAAAGAAAACAAATGTTTTTTCCTTATGCATTCCCCTTGCTCCAAACACATACCCCCATGCATGACTTGAGATCTGCATGCTGGGTGTTAGTACATTCATTTAGTGAAAAGAATTTACATTGTAGCAAATCTGACTGGAAACCCTGTATTTTTATTTTTTTAAACAGTCTGGAATGGAACGACCGTGACTTTTTTTTTTTTTTCCCAGAGATATCTATGACTGAATTCTTAGGAAATATTAGCTAAAACCTTTTGATTTTCAAGAACTATCTAATAAGTCTATGAAGAATTTTTTTAGAGCCTTCAATTGGCATATCTACAAAAATGCTTTATAATATAAAGGACTGTGGAAGATGGCTATGATATAACTCCTTTCAAGGGCTCATGAGCGGAACAAAAAAATTTCCGGGTAGTTTAAAATTAAAAATTACATGGGTCCATTCTCTTTCCATTCCTGCTTCACCTTGGTTCGCGCTGTTGTTGGGGGATGGATTACAGACTTTTTCCAAAGGACTGAAGGAGAAGCAGTTTTTTATTTTCACATGTGTAAGAAAGAAACACATAATACTCAACTTTCTAGGGCAAAACCAAACGATAAGGAGAGAGCTGTTGCAGAAGCATTACAGTCAGAAAGAAGGAAAGGACACAAATGCACACTCACACAGAACGGTGGAGAAAACAGTTCAGTGGAGTGTGAGGTTCTGTGTCCACAGATACATTTTAACCTCTGAATTCCACCGTATCTGTTGTGAATATGACAGAAAAACAACATTTCGGTTATTAGACTTGTTAAAATAGATTTAAGAGAGATGAAAATGTGAGTCTTGGTAATTATAACTGAACAGTTGTTAAAAGTTACAGTTTGTCTTGGTGCTGGTTTTATTTCCCCCACAGTGAACTTGTTTTGTCTTTATGTTTAGTAACAAAATGTATTAATTCATACCTAAGTTGCACATTATTTGACATCCTCATTGTAATATTAATTGACATCCTGTTCCACCTATCCAGTCTTCAGTTAGGCTCGGCCTCAGATCTCTATAGGATTTATGACAAATGTATTATATCTAGCTAAGTTGAGTTTAATATTTTTTTATTAGCCTGTAAATAAAGATGACATCTTCTACATTAAAAATAGTGCTGATCTCAATTTTTTTTAATGAATATTTTTCTTTCACATTAAATATTTTGGTTTATTTATTTCTAGTACCTTCCATTATTTGTACCAAGAAGTCATAAAATTGCATGTAAAGGTTGAACCTAGTTACTGTGGTAGAAATATATATATATATTTTTAGTGGGAATTAACTATTTAGTCTTAGGAACTGTTCGATCAAAAACATGTTGGTTGGAAGGAACCGCCGAGCAGCTGTGGGATCGGCTTCTGTTGGAATTTAGCAGATGGCAAAAACTCTAATATTGATAGGCAGTGTTATTTATGAGGATAGCATTGATAAAAATTAGAAAACCAACCCTACTAGATAGATGTAAGAGGATATTCTTCCATTTTATCATCTCAGCATATATGTTTTAGAAGTTCCCAATTATGTATAAAATAATTTTTAGAAACCTCTGTAAAGATTGCTCAGTTTTTGCCTCAGAAGTATTACTTGTTATGAACATTTAGAAATATTTCTTTTTTTGTCATGGACTACCCTTTATTTAGTCCTAATGTGATAATGCTGTCTGTGTATCAGTTTAAGCTCCCAATTAAACAAGTAATTTGGAAAAATCTTTTTCCCAGAACAATATCGCATAGGATATTTGTATTTATGAAAGGTTTTGAAAAAATTATTTGTATTTTAATTAACATTCTACTTTAGGTGGTTTTATAACTTTTTTTTTTTTTAACTAAAAGGTATTGCAAATGACCATGTGTTGTTGGTGCTAAATATTTGTTTGGTAATAAATCTTTTTCAGATGTGTTTTGAAAGCTATAGTCACTGTCATGGCAGCCACGAGAATGCTTCCGCCATCCCCCCCCCCCCCCCCCCCAGCTGCTGCACTCAAATCTATTGCTGCATTCACACCGAGGCCCTGCTCACACTGCTGCCAACCAGTGACTGAGCTTGAGAGGGAGCTAATGACATCTTGACTTTGGCTTGAGGACTCTGACAGTCTTGCCAGACTCTTAGTATTACATTAGAGTTTAGGTTGCTGTCGCCCACCCTTCCTCCTTTTGTTCACCTGGGATCACAACTGCATTGGGATCTGGTGCTCCCTCCTGATTTTCCAGCATTGCCCCTATTTAACCCATTACACAGCTGAACCCTTCTTGGTCTTGGTGTCTGTGTCTTGCAGGACTCAAACTAGCACATGGGACCAGGGGTGAGATCTGAGGGAACAGGTTATTCGGAAATTAGGAGATGGCCCATCTCCCACCCAAAGGGTAAAGAGGATGACTTCCTGCTCTGTAAGTGGGATACATGTAGTGTTTGGCACAAGGTCATCTCTCAGTTTCTAAACATTTCACAGATGGTCTGCAGATAAGAACCTGTTACCCTTACAAAGATTTGTTTGCTAGATTGCCTTTGGCTAATTAATGTCCAGCAATGAGGATTGCAGGAGTCCTTTTCCCTATTTCCTACCTAGCTGATAAGAGTGGTTTACTGTGCCTGAAATGTTTGTACAAACCACAGGGTGTATGTTGAACAACTGTGTTCCTTCTGGGAATCTGAAATTTTGGTACATGCTAGGCAGAGCCTGATAAAACCCCTACACCCAGGCTGAGGCAAGCTTCCCTCATGGACAATACTTCATGCATGTTCCACATCATTGCTGGAGGAATGAAGCTCATCCTGTGTGACTCCATTGGAACGAGACTTGGAGCTTGTGCCTGGTTCCTCGGGTTTGTTCATGTGCCTTTTCCCTTGGCTGGTTCTGTTTGATGTTCTTTCTCTAATAAATCATATTTGTGAGTACACGTCTGTGCTTAGTCCTGTGGGTTTTTCTAGCAAATCATTCAACTTGGGGATGGTCTTGGACACCCCAGACACAGGTGGTAACTTGGGCAAATGTCCTCATGGAGAGGAATTCTCTAGAAGGTCATTGACACATGCATGGGCTAAATATGGGGAGAACCGTGCCTATAGGAAGAGTAGAATTGGGTGGTTACTGCTGGGTTGTGTTGATGACCTACAGAAGGGTAATGAGAGTCTGGGGGCTGTTATCAAGCTGTTAGTGCCAAAAGAGAGCCAGAGGACCTCTGGGAAGCTTACAGGGAGGCCTGGGTTGAAACAGCTGAGTTTCTGGCTGGCCATCTAATTGTCATTGTCTCAGATCTTCAGAGACTTGAATGTTAAGCCAATTCTGTTTTGTGAAAATCAAGGGCCTAGTAGAGAAAACCCTAAGGACCTTGAAATGTGCCATGGGGACGTTTGGATGGATACCCCTGAGGATGTTGGCTCTGCAGCCCCTACTGCCTTTGGTCTTGCAGAAGTAGCCCACTCTTCCCTAATGAGTCACCTCTGTTATGCTAGCAGGTGCTTCGGGGGCTGCCACCCAACCCCCACGTCCCCTCAGACAATAACTGCCCTCATATAGTCTTGGCTGCAAGGTGTATAACCAGGGTTACTTTCTAGCAAAACCTGGATGTGCTCTGTGTGGTAAGGGAGAAGACTGAACACCAAAAATTTAAGAATTAGCTAGCGTATACTGGCAGGAGCCAGGCAAGCGTTATTGGGGTTGGATTTTGAGAGTGCTTGATCAAGGACTAAATTCTCTAAAGAATTCAAATTGGAAAAAATAACCCAGCAACACGTTGTTTATGAGGAACACACCTAAAACAAAGAGTTTGAAAGTAAAAGAGTAAAGAATACACACTGAGGCCCTGGCCAGTTTAGCTCAGTGGTTGAGCATCAGCCTGTGGACCAGAGAGTCCTGGGTTCGGTTCCCATTAGGGGCGCATACCACCAAAAAAAAAGAATACACACTGGGCATATGTTCTCCAAAGGCCAGCTAAGTCAGAGAAAACAGACTTGCCGGGCATGTGTGGCTCCGTGGCTCAGTGGTTGAGTATTGTTGACCCATTCACCAAGAAGTCGCCAGTTTGATTCCCAGTTGGCGCACATGCCCAGGTTGTGGGCTAGATCCCCAGCAGGGGGTGTGCAGGAGTCAGCTGATCAATGTCTCTCTCTCTCCCCCTCTCTAGAAATCAATAAAAACATTTTTAAAAGACTTTAAGAAAAAAAGCATTGTAAGGGATAAAGAAAGCTACTTACATCCGAAAAGCAACTCACTACAATGTTAAAATAATTGTAATTTACTACCAATTTAAAATAGCTTCAAAATATATAAAGCAAAAATTAATAGAACCACAAGAACATTGTAAAATTCCATCACAATAGTGGAAGATTACAACAAAACTTTCAAAGAAATAGAGAAAGGAAGATTTGAACAGCAAAAGTAACAAGATTGTTTTGAATTCAAGTTAAGAAGGTATTAAATTGTAAAAGAAAGATATCTGCCCTAGCTGGGTGTTTCAGTTGGTTGGAGTGTTGCAGATTAGGTCCCGATTGGGGTGTATATGGGAGGCAACAAATCCATATTTTTCACATTAATGTTTCTCTCTCTCTCTCTCTCTCAACTCGATATAACATATCCTTGGGTGAGGATAAAAGAAAACATCTGGCTTATAAATAGGAAGATAGACGAATGAACTATAAGAAGGAAAATTAGATACACAAAATGTAGAACAGACTAAAGCTTGGATTCTATGGCTGTGGAAAGGTAACATTTGCAATTTGGTAAAGTGACAGCAGGGGGCAGCAGACTCCAAGTGTGATAATTATGTCTATTGGAGCGGAAAGGTTTTATGAAGATTATAAAATAAAATACTCTGTGTCCTCACTTGTAATATATGTGTTCAAATGTCTACTGTGTAGCCTGACATGTAATAGAAATGTTCAATTGAAAGAATACTCTTTATTATGAGGATGAATAAACTGAGGATTAGAGGTAGTAACTGTCAGAGCCAAGACTCAACTCTTGCTCTTGATTTTACTTTAATAAGCCATTTTCAAAGAGAGGAAGAGGAAACATAGATGAAATTGTCAGCTTTTCAGTCTTTCTCCTAATTAATTTTCTTTTTCCTAAATGATGCGAGATTTGATGGAACCTAGGATTGATTCAGTTTTCATTTTCAAAAATGATGATTGAGTTGGATTTAAACTGCACTAGATAGAAACTGTTTAATCTGTAACTGAGTGAACGTTCGAGTGCCAGAACTGAGTGACACAGTAGATTCTTAGGTCCTGGAGACTGTAGCATTCCGATACCACCTCCCCCGCCCCCCGGCCAAGCCACTCCATACTCGCACACAGGTGGCCTCTCCATGTATATGCACAGCCCCATATTCTTAGGAAGCAAGGCTGCAACAAGGGTATTGATGACCTCAGAGGAAGGTGTCAGTCTCACTAGGTGCCTCCCGAAGGTTCTCCCTGCCATTGTTAAGGGCATTTTTACCTACCTGGGCTGTAGCAAATGGGCTGTCAGGTTCCGGAAGCAGAAACATAGAACTAAAGAAATTTAGTCCAGCGGGTGTGGCTCAGTGGTTGAGTATAGACCCATGCACCAAGAGGTCGCCAGTTCAATTCTCGGTCAGGACGGGTGGGGGTGGGGGGGGCATGCAGGAGGTGGCCAATAGATGTTTTCTCTCATCAATGTTTCTATCCCTCTCTCCTTCTCATTTCCTCTCTCTGTAAAATCAATAAAGAAAAAAAAAAATTTAAACCAGACTTCCCAAAATAACTCTTAGGCTCTTAAAAAAAAAAAAGAAGAAAAGAAATTTAAATGGATTTTTCAGGGGGGAAAGAAACAATAGATAAACTACTGGCTAAACTAATCATGAAAAAAATAAATAAAGGCATGTACAAAAGAAATAAGGGAGAAAAGCAGAGGAAACAAAAAGGATAATAGACTATTTTTTTCAATTCTATATGAATAAATTTTAAACTTTTCTAAAAGAATATAATTTATCAAAACAAATTTTAAAATTTAAACATTGCCACAGAGAAAATTGTCAGAGTGCTGCCCTCACACCAAAGTAGCACAATGTATGGTTGCAGGGACCAGTGCCACCAAACCTTCAAAAAGCAGCTGGTTCCAAT